GCTGATCCATATGCAGACTTCTACTCTCACAAGTAAGGATGAATAAAACAATGGTGTAAGCGTTCTCCATGTATTCTGAGAATAACCAAACATACAGCACTGTAATGCAATCTAAACAAGGAATACACAGAATATGTGGACCAGAGAGTGGCCATAGTAACTCTGTTGTATATTACAGTAAAATATCTTGAAAGCTGAAACTTTTTTTCATTTTGGAGACTGAGGAAATCTGCTTATAGACAATTGCCACTAGATACAGAGTGTCCCAAACTGGAAGATTTCTGCTCTACTCAGCATGTTGGATTTTCCCTTACTTTCTGTCCCAGAGCCAATGGTCACCAGGACCGATTGAGAGCAAATCTGTTTAGCATGGACACAGAGAACAATATAAACCCAGCAAACCCCAATTCTTCCCTACTCTATCCAAAACTAAATGCAGTAAAATTGATCTTGCACCAGCTACACTCACCTTACCAGCATTCCTTAGCTGTTCCTGCCGTCATTGCAGCTGGTGACTACTTCCGGTTTTGGGGAAGATGTGACTTTCTCCATGTGACAGTGCTTAGGGCCAGCAGTCAGTCGCTAGACCTGAGCACTGTTACACAGCAAGGGAAGTGTTGTTACTCTTCTCCTTAGTATTTAACACCTAGGATTTCAGTGCCTGCTGCAACGACCCATAGAGCTTGCGAGGTAGCACTGGTAAGGCTAGTATAACTGGGATGGGGGTTTCTGTCACTTTTCCCTGCTTTGGCAAGGTGACAATGTCTCTTTAATTTGAGATGAAATATTTTTTTAAATAGTGGTTTATAAATATGATCATAATAAACTGAATAAAATCGTTTCGCTTGTAAAATAAATGTGACCATATAATAAATATTTTTAACATTTATGGCCAATAGTTGTTTGCTCGATGGATGCCAGGTACCTAAGCACACCTCACCCACGTAAATGAATAAACAAACTGATCTTTTTACCGTGGAGAAAATAAAAATTATAAACGTATTTACTTTTGGCTTGTGTAACTGTGAATTTTATATGATTATGATATTTATTTTATGTTTTCAGCACTGGGGAGAACTGCTGAGCTGCTGGGGCTGGACCCAGAGCAACTAACAGAAGCACTGACCCATAGATCCATGATCCTCAGGGGAGAAGAGATCTCCACACCACTCAGCATACAGCAGGCAAGTGTACAGCATACTGTCAGAAAAAACGTCATCAAATTTATTCAAGAAAAAATGCAGTGGAAATAATAGATTGAATATGGAATTGCGGCCCTTACTATTCTGTTAAACCGCTAATTCAGGTGTTTCGTATGTAAATTACCCTCATAACCATTGGAATCTTGCAACTCCTAATGTGAAATAAACATATTTTTTATGGTGTCTCCATAATTCTACCTGTCAGATCCTACATATAAAAATTTGAAGTTATGTTGTGCCTATGCCCACTTCTCTTCCTTCCCAGTATGTCATGGCTGAGCTGGCTAAAACCATATTAAAAAAGAGCTCCCCTTCTATAATGCAGGCATTCCTTATGTTTTATTTGAGCTGTGCTTTCACCTTAATGAGTTCTAACCTGTCCCTAACTATTATGATCACTCTAGTACTTAAACCACCTACCTTAGCACTTTACCTAACTCTTAAAATAAACGCTAAATCTTAACTGCTCCTTCACACCTAAACTTAACTTTTTCCAGAAAAGGTATCTAAAGAGTGGTTTTTGCATGTAAAAGTTATGCAGACTTTTTCCATCTAGAATTGATTACCTGTGCAGTAAAATTAGGCTAGGTTCACAGTATTGCGGCTCTGCAAGCTGCTTTTGCTTGGGCATGACAGCTTATTCATGTGAATGCGCTATCGTGTCTGCATTTCATTCAAGTAAAAGGTTCCTGCACAATATTTAAAACTGCTGTGGCCAGGAAGTTGCATGGTGCTTCTGCACCATGCATTTTCCCAGTGGTTCCTGCACCTGCAAACGTGCTGCAGTTTTTGATGTCATTAAGAATTAATCACAGTCCTGCGAGTCTGTAAAGAGCAGTGCATTTTGGCTGCGGGTATGGGAACAGCTGCGATTCCTGCATCGGCAACCACCTACAATAGTGTGAACCAGGGGCAGACTGACAACTCATGGGGCCCCCGGGCAATAGGGGATAACGAGGCCCCTGTGTCCTTGCCCACACTCAAAGCACACCCAAGAAAGCCTATAAAAGGTACCAGGCATTTCATGGGGCCCCCTACTGACCCCGGGCCCTCGGGCAGTGCCAGAGTGCTCGAATGGTCAGTCCGCCCCTGGTGTGAACCTAGCCTTACTGATTTAATTGAAATAGTTGTAGGTATGGAGTGCAGTTTTCCTTTATTAGGCTCATTTATGAACGATGTAACATTCGTGCTTTCCATAACAATAAACCTAACCCAAAATCAACACTTTATTTGCCGTCTAAAATTAAAACGTTATTTCCTCCCATTAAACTTATTTTGGTATTTTACTTCTTAACTCATCTAACTGGAAAAGGAATTACACTTACATGTTTTTTGATTTTACATCCCAGGCTATAGATAGCAGAGATTCCATGGCCATGGCACTCTACTCACAATGTTTTACATGGGTAATAAAGAAGATTAACAGCCGGATAAAAGGAAAAGATGATTTTAAATCAGTTGGCATTTTGGATATCTTTGGATTCGAAAACTTTGAGGTAATGCATGTCTGTGGATTGTGTATCTGAGATCATTATAGCCAAACTCTGGACAGAAAAAAAAAAATCATAAAAATGTCTTTCTCAATACCCACAGCAAATACAAACCACTTTGTGGGCACCAAATGCTTTTGCAAACCCCGCTATTACCATGTAAAAGCAGCAGTGACATTATCATTGTGCTTCATAAAGCTTTTGCAGAGGGTTGTGTGAGAGATCCAGCAGCCCCCCCCCCCAATACAGACTGCCAGAATAATATTAGAGGGGGGCTGATACAAGACCAGTCACTCTACACAAAGAAAGTGAGCAGCAGTGATTGTTTTTTATTTTATTGAACTCCTCCACAAATTTCAAAAGTTGTTTAATGCTGGATTGCTGCACAGGTCTGGATGAAATACATAAAGGACATCAAGATTTGGCAAGAATACACTTAGCTTTTGTATTTACACAATATTTATTTAGCCCAGAGTATAGGTGTGATTATTAGCAATGCATTGACAAGAGTGTGAACATTTTATATCTATGTCTCTGGACGCCAGTTCTTTATTCTGCAGAGTTTCTTCAATGCTGCTTTTTCTTCTACTTAAGCTGGCAATAGATGGATTGAAATTTGTCCGGTTCAGCTGGGAACACCCATATATCGATCAGTGTGTTACTGCCCCTGCTCAACAGTCATCAGTCATTTGATAGACTTCAGTCAAAGGAGAGTGTTAGAAAATGGTTCTTAATTAGTGGACAGATGAAAAAAAAAAATTGACAAAACAGTTATAACCCTACCTAGGCTAGGTTCACACTTTGCTGGTTTACAAGCAGCATCATTTGCACAGGCACAACAGCCCATTCATTTGAATGGGCTGATGCACCCAAGGAAAATGCAGGGAAAAGGTCCTTGCACCTTTTCCAAAATTGCAGTTGAAGAGAAGCCACATAGCACTGTGCGGTTCTCAGCACGGAAATGCACTACGCAGTTCCCAGCACGGGAAAAAGCCTCTGCTGTGGGTGCGAGAAAGTGTGTGATTTACAGTCACTCTCTTCTGAACTCGCAGAAGTGTGATCCTAACCATACTCTACCCAGAATGAAAAAAAGTTTGCCTTTAGTTCTGGCTTAGCCTGCTGAGTGTACATGTATACATAGTTAACACTTTGATATATGTGAAATATTGTTACTGTTTTCATTTATTTGATATACATGTTTCCTCTCTCTGGTAGGTGAATCGCTTTGAGCAATTCAGCATAAACTATGCCAATGAGAAGTTGCAGGAATACTTTAATAAGCACATTTTTTCGTTGGAGCAGCTAGAGTACAGCAGGTGAGTGTGTGTGGTTTACTACATAAAAAGCAATTTCTGCCATACAAGACTAATCGATTTAAAGTGGAACTGAAAAAAGTGAAGATTTGTTATGTTATAGGGAACATATAGAAATGTTCAATATACCTAAGCAATAACCTAAAAAATGTACCCTGTATCTGGAATTCCTCCTGAAAAATAGCAGCACGTGTCCTGGTATGTGAAGGTGCCTGGGCACTCTTGTGCTGACAGCCTTGTAGATCTATATCTGCAGTGTGAGCTCTAATGCACTGCTGCTTCTGACTGCTAGTGTCAGGACGGAGATTTATGTCACTACTGTGCTGTTTACTGCCCTGCTGGAGGCTCTGACATGAGGAAGTAAAATCCTGCCTCTGCCAAGATGGTCTTCTCCACAGATAGAGACAGTGCAGAACAAAGCGGAGTAAGTCAGTAGTGGGGGAAGATAAGCTGCTGGGAAAGCACAGACTATACTGATGACTATTCCTCTGCCTGCCTTATTTGAGCACAGCTTCCATAGTTCAGTTCCCCTTTAACCACAAGCCTACAGGGCACTTATATACCCCCTTCTTGCCCAGGCCAATTTCCAGCTTTCAGTGCTGTTTCACTTTGAGTTGACAATTGCGCGGTCATGCAACATTGTACCCATATGAAATTTTATAATTTTTTTGTGACAGATAGAGCTTTATTTTGGTGGTATTTAATCACCTCTGGGTTTTTTATTTTTTTCTTAAACAAACCAAAAATCACTGAAAATTTTGAAAAAAAAAAGTTTTTTTTCTTAGTTTTTGTTATAAAATTTTGTAAATAAGTGATTTTTCTCCTTCACTGATGTGCGCTAATGAGGCTGCAGTGATGGGCACTGATAGGCTGCACTGATGGACACTGATAGGTGGCACTGATGGGCACTGATGAGGAGGCACTGGTAGGTGGCACTGATGGGCATTGACAGGCATCACTGATGGGCACTAAAAGGCAGCACTGATACATGGCAGTGATAGGCGGCACTGACTGGCACTGATAGGCGGAACTGACTGGCACTGATAGGCGGCACTGACTGGCACTGTTAGGCGGCACTGACTGGCACTGTTAGGCGGCACTGATAGTCGGCACTGACTGGCACTGATAGGTGGCACTGTTTTGCATTGATAGGTGGCACTGAATGGCACTGATGGGTGACACTGAAAGGCAGCTCAGATGGGCACTGATATGTGGCATTGATGTGTACTGGTAGGCACTGATATGTGGCATTGATGTGGCACTGATGGGCACTGGCACGAGGCACTGATGAGCACTGGCACATGGCACTGATGGACACTGACAGGTGGCACTGCTGGGGCTACACTGATCATCAGGGCACACTGATCATCGGTGCCCTGATGATCATTGTACATGTCCCCTCCGCGGATTACCGGCTCTCCTTTCATGCTGTCAGCGTGACAGCTCGAGAGGAGAGAAATGCCGATAACCGGCATTTCCCTGTTTACATGTGATCAGCTGTGATTGGACACAGCTGACCACATGACCAAGCTGACATCTTCGGCTCTTTCCGTGATTGGTGATCCGCTGTGTCCGAGGGACACAGCGCATTGCCGATCACTGCGTTGCGTGCTCCCTGAGCCGCTCATGCATGGTGAGAATGAGAGAACCACCTTGCGTCCGTCATATTATTGTATGGCAGGCGGGAGGTGGTTAAGAAGTAATGTTTGTGCCAATTTGTGTTCACTTCAATTGAACAGTAAAGTGACCCTTTCAGTCCACCAGACTAAGTCAAATGGCAGTCTGAATTAGGTGTAGGCATTCTCAGGTGCCTGCAAGCATCTTTTAACAATTTGCAAAGCACCCAGGATGCCCCCAGTCCCAGGGTAATTTATCAGAAATCACGACTTGAAAAGTTCAGCATGTAATTCCTATAATAGTCACTTCACCTAGTTTGGGAGATCAAATGGGTTACTTTAAAGAACTCAAAACATGAGAAAGGGAACATATTTTGGAAATGATGCATATTACTGTATCCTAATTCATTCTGGGTCTTGCCTTTTGTAGCGATTGAACAGCCATGGCAGTATAAAAGGCCAGGATGTACAGCAAACGCCCATGGTACTTCAAAGAAATTCTGTGCAGCGTACACTTTACCGTGCAAAACCTGGAACTGATTGAATCATAAAAATCATTTTAATGTCTAGAAGACAAACTAGTTTTGATAAACTATGTGGTTACATCAGTTGCTAGATTTCTGTTCAGTCGCTGTCCCACCTTGACACCTCATCCAATCAAGGAATGTTCTGCATAAATTCAGAAAATGCAAAGCATTCTGTGAATGGCGCCCATGGCAAACTCTTGTATTCAGAATGCAGTAAGGCAGCCACTCGGGTTCAGAAGCAAGTGGAGATCACTGGTGTAGTGGTGTCCAATGATTTCCAGCTTCCTGGGGCATCAGCCAAGTATGGAATATACATAGTTATATTGGTCCAAAGTAAAACATATACCATACCCGGAACTCTTTCTTTAATAAGAAACTCTAGTGCATTTTATTTAACTATATATAAATGTTAAATGATTCTGCTTATTTGCTGTTTCATATGTTTCATGATTCTATTTCATATACAGGATAGATTTGCCCTCTACTGTCTTATCTGAATATCGAATATCTAACATAAACTGTACAGCACTCCTGATTGCCTGCTGAGATGTGAAGGAGATAATCTGGTTTCAGTCTGAGCTGTCTAATAGGAATTGAGAGAAAAGGACAGTAAAGTGCTATCACGGTGTTGCGCTACTATAGCCTGCATTGTATGACTGACACTGTGTACAAAAGTAAATAAAGTTTTACTAAAGCCACAAAAGTAAAATCTGTCTGTATATGCAGTAAATCATGCTTGTTACTCATTGTGGAACCTAAGGGTTAATCCACCCCTTTGTGTAAAAAGGCTGTTTGATCCTGTTGATCCTCCCCTTTTTCTACTGTCAGCAATCCATCTGTTGATAGTACAGAGCTCTAGGAGTCACTCTGCACGTGCTCAGTTTAGTGTGTATTACTAGAGAGTTTTTTTTTTTGGGAGGGTGCATGTGATCAACACAAGTCCAATCAGCACTGGACAGAGGGTCAGGGGTTATGCAGCCTCATAGGACAGTCAGAGCAGAATGAAAACTCCTCTTATAACCTTTAAACACTGCTCAGCTGAACACTGATAGAAGTCACAAGACTGTTAAAAACTGCTGATGAGAAAAGGTATTTAGCAGTTTATATTTGCTAAAATAATTGCATTTCCATGTTCTGTGTACTGTGGGAGACCATATACAGTGAACATCAGGTCGTGGGTTTAGTAACACTTTAATGTTCTAACACATAAGAAAAGGATTTTAATTAACACATTAACACAAATATATATTATTAGTTACATTAGACCCTATTCACTTGTTTATCTAAAACATTTTTGAAAAAATAGATTTTCTTCAGATAAATAACATAATAACTTGTCAACGTGTTTCTCTTAGGGAGGGTCTGGTGTGGGAATCCATAGACTGGACAGATAATGGAGAATGCTTGGACTTGATAGAAAAGGTAAGATCACATTCAACATGTTTATAATTTCAGTAAAACAGCTTTGACATATGGTCCACCAGCACACGTAAGAGGCTTTGGTATTAGCTGATATGTATACCAGATAACGCATGACAAATGGGAAGGTAAAGAGATAAGAAAAGGTTAAATAATTCAGGTCAGATATAAAAATAAATGAGTATTCAAAAATTTGTCAAAACCAATTTTTAGGTTCTTTTTTTAGGACAAAAATGGTATAAATAGCTGGACAATTTAAAACACATGCTGGTTATATAAAAGCTTTATGAATGCCTGTTGTAGAAAAAAATATTTAAAAAATTCTTGGAGCCTATAAAAATATTGAAAATAAGGGCGGTAGCGTGAGTAACAGGAAACACATTTCCTGATGTTTAATCTCATGTAAATATACCAAAGCAACCTTCAAAACATATTGATGTTGGTAGTTTTTTAGTTACTTAAAAAAAGAGGTGGATATAAAAAAGTGTACACACCCCTGTTAAAATATCAGGTTTCTGTGATGTAAAAAAAATAGACAAAAATAAATAATTTCAGAACTTTTTTCACCTTTAATGTGACCTATAAACTGTACAACTCAGTTGAACAACAAACTGAAATCTTTTCGATGGAGGGAAATAAAAATAAAAAACTAAAATAATATGGTTGCATAAGTGTGCACACCCTTAAACTAATACTTTACAACATTCAGTCTTTTTGGGTATGAATCTATCAGCATGGCACATCTTGACTTGGCAATATTTGCAAAAACACTCCAAATTTGTCAGATTGTGAGGGCCCATCTCCTGTGCACATCCCTCTTCAGATCACCCCACAGATTTTCGATCTGATTCAGGTCTGGGCTCCGGCTGGGCCATTCCAAAACTTTAATTTTCTTCTGGTGAAGCCATTCCTTTGTTGATTTAGATATATGCATTGGGTTGTTGTCATGAAGTTCCTCTTCATGTTCAGCTTTCTAGCAGAAGCCTGAAGGTTTTGTGCCAGTATTGACTGGTATTTGGAACTCTTCCTAATTCCCTCAACCTTGACTAAGGCCCCAGTTCCAGCTAAAGAACAATAGCCCCAAAGCATGATGCTGCCACCACAATGCTTCACTGTGGGTATGGTGTACTTTTGGTGATGTGCAGTGTTGTTTTTGCGCCAAACATATCTTTTGGAATTATGGCCAAAAGTTCAACCTTGCTTTCATCAGACCACAACACATCTGTTACATTTGTTTTTTGATATTTTCACAAGCTTTTGTTGACTGGGGAAACACTCCTATACAGACTGAAAATGCATATAAAATATTTTTTTTCACATTATTTTGAAAAGTATATTTTAAATGTTGAATTTTCTTACAGACAGATAGTATAGATGTAAGAATATTGAAAATGTAAAAATAACAGTTTGTATTTTTTTTTTTTTAGAAACTTGGCTTGCTAGCACTGATCAATGAAGAAAGTTATTTTCCTCGAGCTACTGATAGCACCTTATTGGAGAAGTTGCATAACCAGCATGCGGTAGGTGTTTTTTTTCTTTGCCTTTGTTACATCTGGTTTGAAATATATTTACTATTTACAGTATTTATATGCATGCACTCTTGTGCATAGTAACAGTGAGGTATGTTTGGCAGTGAGGAATTTAACTGCTTCCTGACCGCCCTATAGCAGAATTACTGCTACAGGGCAGCAGGGCTGCGCAAAATCACATAAATATACGTGATGTTTCATTTCTGGGTAGAGGGGGAGCACGCACACCGCCCTGCCTGCGCTACCATTGGCAGCTACAGCTGTCAATCACCGGGTCCCGGCTGCAGATTCCCCACCGGCACCCGGCAATCGCGGAGGAACACTGACAGGAGAGAGGGTCTGTATATAAACAGTACAGATCTCTCCCCTGTCAGCACCAGCATGCTGCTTTGTATTTCTCCACATAGCAGGGCAATACAAAGCAGCATGCTTACATTGTAAAGCACACACAGACAAAATAGTAAAACAGCACACAGTTAACCCTTTGATTGCCCCGGATGTTAATACCTTCCTGCCCAGTGCTATTAGTACAGTGTCAGTGCTTTTTATTAGCACTGATCACTTTATTAGTGTCACTGGGGATGTCAGTGGCAGTTAGTCAGTTCCCCCCCAGTGTCAGAATGCCTGCCGCAGTCCCACTATAAGTTTGCTGATCGCTGCCATTACTAGTGTATATATATAAAAAAAAATTAAATTCCAGTATATATACCGTCAATTGTAGACGCTATAGCTTTCACTATAACCAACCTTCTCTATAGAAATTATGAAGCACTCCTATCCCAATACCCACATAAATAATACTAAACTCATCCAAAAAAAAAATATAAAATAGAAGAATTGTGTACAAAATATAAGTCCAAAAATCCAAATGTCACTCTTTCAAAATCCAGTGTGAAATTCCAATTGTCTTATCACTCTTCGTGAACCTCAAAGAAATAAAACTATAATAGTGTATTACCTTCTATAAAAAAAATCATATGCCTGAGAATATAATATCTGCTCAAATAAAGGTGCACCAAACTGCAAAATTGCGGCTGTGGGCAAATAAGTGTATCATGCAAACAGCATATTGTGTACACTAATGATACGTGAAAACACAGAGAAAGAAAAAAAAACACAAATTAAAAAATATACAATAAATATGTAAATAAACGTATAAATTATACAACCAATCAATATCCGTGAACACGCCAGTTCAGAAGGTGAATAATCCGTGATCACCTCCAACTAGTGCAAATGAATAATTACCCTCCGGAAGTAATGACAAGCTTTGCAGGATATCCTTGATCAGTTAGCACCACTTTCCATCTCACTAACACTCCTGTGGTCACTCTTCCATGTTCCTTATAAATGTAAATTGGAGACTCAAAAGGTATATATATCAAAGTATAAAGACATTTATTCCAAATCTTACATTAAGGTTTGT